TACGCACAGAGAGAGAGAGAGAGAGAGATACACACACACACACACACACACACACGCACGCATGCACGCACGCACGCACAAAATTCGATGCCACATTTTCGTGGAATATTCATTTGCGCGGACTCGTACCCTTGGATATCAATGGGACTGGAGGGGGAAGAAAAACCAAGAATAAGACGAGTGTTTCCTTGTCTTCCTCGATAATTTCCTCTTATAAGTCGACCGCTTCTTTACCCCTCCTACTCACTCCCTATCCATCTCCATCAATCCATCCATCCGTTTCTCTTTCTCTCTCTCTCTCTCTCTCTCTCTCTCTCTCGCTCTCGCTCTCACGTACCTTTCAAACTGTCCAATCGACCGACCAACTAACCAACCCCTCCATTCCTCAAAGGCTCGAGCTCCACGAAGAAAGGCGAAGAAAGAGCAAAAAATACCTTCGTCTCGTGGAGGAGTGCGCCGGTGCCTTTTGTCGAAGTGCCGAAGAGGTCTTTTTTCGGCACCGGAAACACGCCGAGCGCCCAACACGTGCACCTGAGCCAGGAAGGACGCAGCTGCTTCGGCACGCGTCCCGGATGCTGCACCAGCCCGCAACGATCGACGGATTTATTATGCAAAGATGTTCCCCGCCTCGTTATACCCTCCCCGTCGCCTCACCCCGACGCCCACATCCACACCCTCGTCCTCTCACCCGCCCTTTATCTTCTACGTCCGAGTATCGAGTACGCGATCGTTCGGGGAAAGGCTCGGGCTCGTCGATCGAATGCCAGGGCGGACGAGATTAGATAAAATTGCCGAAATAATGACGGGCCCAGCCTTCTGCCGCTCCTATCGGCTCTCCTCTCTCGTCCTATTCTACTTATCGCCCCGGGACGATAACCACTCGCCCTCCCTCCTCACGCTATCAACGACCTCACTGTCTCTCGAGACACTTACTCATAAGCCGTAGGATTAAGGAGAGTAACAACGTCGCTACATCGCGCTCACTTTCTACGCGTCCGCCTGAAATATCGACGTTCCATCGTAGACTCCCGTCACCCCCTTCTCCCACATTCGCGCTCTCTCTCTCTCTCTCTCTCTCTCTCTCTCTCTCTCTCTCTCTCTCTCCCTATTTCTTTCTCTGTATGTCCGAGGGTCGCCGTGGGGCTTTTACCGAATCTCTCGGACGGTCGGCACGGCCAATTAGCCTGAAGATGGACGGACGACGTTACACGAGGAAGGTGTAAATATCGCGATAATGATCGAACAACAGTGGGGCCCAATATAGCTCAAGGTCACCACTATGTTTCATCCGACTCGTTGTACGGCGGAGCGGCACGAGCGACAGGACGGAGACGGGTGTAAAATGATAAATTTAGAGCTTCCTGAAGCTCCTCGTCGTTCGCACTTCACAGGCCTTCACAGTAAGCACGGATAATGAACGGCGGGCCAGGGTTGAGTCGCGTGCGAACGACAGCATAAATCCCCGTTTGTTATGCAAAAGGGATCGCGTGCGCATCCTCACGCGCGCGCCTCTCCCGTGACTTGCACAATGACGCCCGAGCTCCCCATAATCCCGCGTAAAACTTCCGGATTATGGCTGTTGGATAGAATGGTGGATGTGTGGCGAAGGGGAGAATTGATGGAATGGCTAATGGTGGGGTGAGGGGGGCAGGACAGAAGAGTATGACTGCGGGAGGACCGTTACGTGGCGAGGAAGAAGGGGCAGCGCTCGAGGTTTGTCGCGGATTTTCCTAAACTCTCGGCTTGCTCAGCTCTTCGTAAAAAGTTAGCGGTCGGCTATTCGCCAAGTGATGATACACGTAAACGTTAAATGTCGGCAAATGGAAGAACAGCGACGTGTGGTGGGCAAGCGGGTGGGGTGGGAGGGTCGAAGAAGAGACTCGAGGGCCAGGTTTCGGCGCGTG